TGCTCTTGAAAAAACATATATGTAGCGTTTCGCCCGGAATATTGGTTTTAGTCTATTTATTTTCCTTACTCCTAACTACTTCTCAATTTCTTTATTCAAATTGAGACACCAAACATATTCTCATGTCTTATTTTTCAACTTTCTAAGCTTTGATAACCTTCATACATTGATGTCAAAATCTTATTCCTCTCAGAATCCGGAATTACTAGTCGTAATACTCTCATTAAAAAGTTTTCCTCGCATTTTGTTCTCCTAGCTTAGTTCAAAATTTGTTTTACCATAATATTATATCTACATCTTGGTCCAGCAGATCTAATATATTAATCCTGAGCTCTTTTTCTTCGTTTTCTATTTAAACGAAGTTTTGATAATACATCTGAATTTTTTTTTACCTGTCTAAATCTGATTTAACAATTTGAAGACCTTATTATCTTTCTTAAACAGGTAAACTAATGGCTTCTAATGATGGGTGTTCGACCCAAATCTACGTCCTATTAAGTATTCTATGCATTTAGTCAAACCATATTTTCCCGCTTAAGCTTCCTTTTCAATTGTAGATTAATTTTCCTCAGCATTAGTAAATTGTTTAGATAAGAATAATGTAGATCTTAAAATATCATCGAATATAATTGTAGTAAAGATTCTTTTATTCCTTTATTAGATGCATACACGACCAATGCGATATCTAAAGCCTTATTAAAACAATCAGAACGGACTTCTTTACGATTATCTTCTTTAATATATATTTTGTGTTTCTTACCATTCAAATCTAATATTTTTACTTAAAAATTATACATTGGTGTAGCTACCTTTGCGAATTTTGACTATAAAACTATGGTAAAAGTTACCCGCATCTAAAAAAGCCTATAATTCTATTTTATTAATCGGTACTATCATGCTAGTAATCCTAATATTCTTCATAATGGTAGTAATCCCTTACATTAATCACGTAATATATAATTGCTTCTTTTACTCCAAAAACACCCTTTTACATATTCACTAGCAGACTCTTTCACACCTAAAAATTTAATTAACCGCATATTGTGTTTTTCTTTGACTGATAACAATACATCATTTAAATAAGACATTGTGTCACTTAATTCTTAAAAATAACAGACATAGTTTGAAAATATAGTACTTTTAACCCAAAAGACAATTTCCACAACTAAAACAAACGTCTATGCGTTGTAATAGTTCATTCCTCAATGGCCTTCTCATTCACTTTAATTTGCAGGTAGGGGTTAGAAAAGTTTAATTTAGAAAATAGTTGATCCTTTCAAATTACCCAGCATCTACCCTGAATGCTTTATTATCATATAATCCATAGGGATACTCCGCACACATCAAGCTACCATTATTCTTTCTCATCGGTATCACTGGTGTTGCCTATTACTATGATCAATTAGCCTTATACTTACCTTTAATCATTTATCTAACCCTCTGTCTATCTCTTCTATTCACTGCAATGGCGATTTTCTAATATACCAAGAAGTCATTAATAGATAAAAAAATATTTGCTCATTTAAGCCAATTAGAAATTGAACCCGTGCAACTTCCACTACTGTGGTAGATGTATGTTTTATTTCTTGATTCTTCTAGATATGCATCCACATTAATTAAGGAATCCAAATCACAGTTCTGACAGAATATGTTATCCGTTTTTTAGGATATAACCTGATTAATGAATTTTTCTATATATGTTCAAATTTTTATGATTATAATAAATTTTTCAAATGATCTATTAATAAACTATTTAAAACAATTCAATTTTAGCCGTGGATCTATCTTATTGCATAATATTTTAATTTAATAATATATATTTTGATTGTTTTTAGAAAACTTTAATTCGTGTATACTAGTGATCTGAGACAAATAAAATTCTGGTTTTAATGAAAATTATTTGTCGTTTGATAAATTAAAACAAGTGATAGGTATGGCTTTGTGGTTTTAGATCTGAACTGTTGGGACGCAGCACTGGCCCATTTTTTTTTGAAGGAAACCTCTAAAATGTGCCACTTCCTGGGCGCTAAGGAAAAGAGCTAGAGTTGAAATGTTAAAGTATGTTAAGGCATAACTTAAAATGGTTTAATAAAAATTAATGGCTGTTTAGTAAATTGCTATACAATTAGGCCTAAAACGAATTATTTGTTATTTGATATTCGATTGGATTCAATTCGATTCGATTCGTATTTTACGAATACGAATAACACAATTATTCGATTCGAAATTTCGAATCGAATATGAATAATGAGGAAAATTATTCGTATTATTCGAAATTATTCGAAATTATTTATATATAAATATTCGTAATTATTCGCAAATATCCATCAGTGCGATTGAGAAAATATAAACTTATTATAACTTAACAAATATTCACACTATAATATCAACAATACTGGATCCTAGACTAAAAATGGAATTTTTTGAGCAACTACCAACTACATATAACATAGGCACGACAAATCTATTAGAAAAATTTAAAGATGTATATAATGATTACAAAATATAATATCAAATCAACATCAGTTAACCCAATACGAACATGGATAGAATTTTTAAACAAAATAACATCGCATCAGTATGTGAGGTGGAGACATATCTTAACGAAATAAGAATCAGTTCTAATAAGAGTCCCTTAGAATGGTGGAGATTGCATGGGGATCGTTTTCCTGTGTTGTCGAAAATGGCAACTGATATATTGTCAATTCAGGGATCTTTGGCTTCATGTGAGCGGTTGTTCTCAATAGGAACAAATATGATAATGAAAAATAGAATGTCTTTGAAAGAGGAAACTATTAGAAAGACTTTATGATTAAAAAATTGGATATTATCAAATTCGGATTTACTATAATTTTATATTTTTGTGTATTATTTTCTATTTTTATAAAATGAGATTATTGTACATTAGCGCAATTATTCGATTCGATTCGTTTTTTTGTAGGCCTATATACAATGTCCCAGGTTACCAATATCATTACCCCTTTAAGTCTCTATCACATAAAAAAATATCAATACTACAAGTGCCAGAAAAAATATATACTATAGTTTAAAAATTACTAATATTTGCAAATAAATCAAAGAATTTTGAATATCTTACAAATTACAAAAATTTTACTACTGATTCAAATAATATGAAAGAAATTTAAATTTATTATTCGCCAATCTTGTTATTATAATTCACAAATGAATAATTTGTTTTTCATATATTCGTAAATTTTATATTGAATCAAATTTAGCAGATTACAATTAGAATTTAACCAAAATTTATAATTACTAAGGAATAACTCGTGACTTAGGTAGAGATTTGCAAACTCGGCTTATACCTGGCCTAAGGCGGCCCAATTTTTAGGGCTTAGAATTTTTAAAAAAATATCGGGCTGGGCCTTAATTTTTAAATGTAATATCATTCAATATTGTGAAATAAATTGATATATTTTAAAAATTTTGAAAGAAATAACCAACATTTATTATTTGTAAAATATTTTTTCTACAATGAAAAAAAAAATTTAGTTTTTCTACATTAAAATAAATCCGGGTCGGGCCAGCAAATAATTTTTCTCGGGTTATATTTTTCGGAACAAATAAAAAAAAATTGATTCGGGATGACCGGGCTGGGATTGTAAAATTAGACCTTATGCAGGCACTAATTTGAATATATCGATAAACCACCTATTATACTATACATAATTAATTAAAAGCAGGGGCATGCTGTTACAGAAAATATCATATTTTGGAGAAACAAAGGAATAAAAAGGAAACATTATTTTAAAAATTTTTCGGGATTATCTTCCGAAAGTTCTAGAAAGGTTTCCAGTTCCCCGATTTTTCGAGTTTTTAAAACATTCCAGCTTCTCGAAAAGTTTTGAATATGAAAATATAAAAATAGCAGAAAGGAGCAACTGGAATGTAGAATTAAAAAAATCGTCTTGAACAGGGTCTCCAATTAAATAAATATACGCTTTTGAATTCTTTTATAGTTTTTTTTTGTTCTACCACTCTGTAATATTATGAAATTTTCAAATTAGTCCTTCTCTTAAAGATCTGCAAAAATTCGGGCCAATTTTTTAAAAAGAAATCGGGTTCAGGCTGGGCCGGGCCTAATATTTTTTTTAAAAATTCGAACCGGGCTTTGGAAATTTTATTTAATATATCTAAATTTATCAATTTTATGTTGAATTTTTAATGTAAAATAAAAATATTTGATTTTATTTATAGAAACTAGAAGCCATATAACATATATCATTTATTTTGAGTAATTATAAAAATTAATTTCTATATTTAAATAATATTGGGCCGGGCTGAACCGGGCTGGTAAATTATTTTAAAAAAATTTCGGGTCGGGCCGGCAAAAATTTTAAAAAAATATTTCGGGTTCGGGTCGGGCCGGCAAAATTTTTTAAAAACATTTCGGACCGGGTCGGGCTTGAAAAATTAAGCCCGATGCAGATCACTACTTTCTCTACCAAAATCCTAGCACAAACCTTGTTTTGTTATAAAATTAAAATGCTTACTGATCAATTCTGGGTCAGAATAACATAAGAGATTTGTAACATAATGACTTTATGTCTGACACAATTATAATTATGCAATGGTAAAGTTTAAAAGAGACATCAAAGGAATGAAAGTGAAATTTAATTTAATTAAAAATAATTGGCAAAAATATGGTCTACAAAAACTAGGAAAATACATAAATATAAAATCTAGTGACGGTAGTTCTTTTAAAAAAAAGATTCTAAGCTTTTTTTTTAAATAACATCTTTCTTACTAGATTTTTTTTAAAAAGGATCAATACCAAAAATATTTTTTTATGATACCAATAAAATTTTATTAAATAATAAATATTTTAATGGAATTTAAATTAGTTGATTTTGGTTTATTATCTGATAATCAATTATAAAAGAAACAATTCTTCTTTTCTTTTTTCATAGAAGGGTTGGAAAATTTTTCATTTCTAAATACTTATCTAAAATTCTTCATGATAGATATCTAGGCTTGAGGAACCATTACTTCTACTTATACCATGATCTTGAGACCACAAATATGGCACCTAGGAACTTTTAAATTATTAATGCAAAAAATATTTAAAAAATGATATGGAAATTTTTTTATTTCTAAATACTTGTCCAAAATCTTCATGATTGATATCTAGGCTTGAGGAACCATCACTTCGATTTATACCATGATTTTGTGGCCACAAGTATGGCAGCCTAGAAGTTTTTAAATTATTAATGCAAAAAGCAAAAATTTTAAAAAATGATAATTACGCTTAATAATAATTAAAACTATTAAAAAAATTCACAAAATTAAGGTTTGGATAGGCCACCATTTAAATATTTATCCTAATTATGATAATGTTTATATATTTAGAGCGTTTTTTTTATATGATACAAAGGTAATTCGATGTGTATAATTTATAAAGTAAAATAAAATACTAAGTTTTTAGTAAAAATGTTAAAATCTAATAGTGCTACCCCTCGCTCCTTTAGCAACATCCTAGTTATGACTACGTGGGTATTCAGAATAATAATCAGCCTATGGTTAGTAGATCGGACTCGTTACGTGATTCCGTTAATATATATTAAAAAATAAATGAGTCTTTTTTTTTAATATATCGATTTGTTTAATTCATAATGTATAACTATATTCCAATCATAAACTAAAATATAATAAAAATAAAAACGCTCATTATATACGGAATTGTAGGACTACAAGTCCCAAAAAACACGAATAATTATATTTTAAAATAATATAATTTGCATTTTTTGTTTTAGAAAATAAAATTCCCTGCTGATTTAAGGGCTCTTATTTTACCCTCTATATATTTTTAAAAATTTTAAGTTCCGCTTGCAGCAGGGAAGAGATAACGATCGGTAAAAACATAATTTGTTAATTTATAATTTATTTTTTCTCGGCTATATAAACTATATTTTTTGGAAATGAAGAGACGCACGTTTTCAAATTAAGGAATTACCCAAGGACCAAGGTACAGAAGTTAAATTATTTGGCTTTAGGCCTTCATTGATGATAAATTAGCAGGCTTCAAGATGTGTGGTATTCCGACTCTTGTAAAAGAACTGCTGATAACTGAATTAATCGCTGCATGCCTTGCATGTCAGCCTTAAATATATATACAATTTTGCATTTTAATAAATTATGGTCGTTTTTATTAGCAAATGGTCATGTAGTGTTGTTAAACTTTTGAGCCGATTTTTAAAAACGGCTAACTCAATATTACATCCAGAAAAATATTAGGGCTGGCCTGAAGATTTTGCTCATAGAAGCGACAAAGGTCTAGACATATAATATCGAAATCTCGAGGCTTGGCAATATTTTTCTGGCTAAAATATTGAGTTAGCTGTTTTAAATTATCGGCTAAAAACGAGCCGTTTAACAATACTTATGTCGATCAACGTCATATATCATTACCTATATTTACCAATTATATTTGTAATAACTGTTCTAGATGAGAAATCAATTGGATTACATTATTCCTAATAATACCCAAATTCTGATATAGGTTTCTGAATAGCGGATGAGTCTATAGCCAATTCGCTATCTAATCATGATAGGATGGTAAACCATCTGTCACGAAGATAATGCAAAATCGTCATTGAAATATAATAGGAGGGGAAGGGAGGTAAGAGGATATAGGGATGGATGAGGGTAGTATATTTTTTTCGAAATTAACTTTGATGAATTAGATTTATTTTTTTCTAAAATATATTTAGGGGGCATATATAAATGGGGAGGGCAAAAATATTGTTATTCGGTAAAAAGGGCAAATATTTGATATAATGCACTAATTGTTACGAATAGTATTCTATTCAGTACTATGAACCGTTAAATATAACGGTTTGGTTTTTAGTTTAAAATTTTATAAACGTTTTGTTCCATTTAGGTTTTTTATTGAAGAAATTCATATCGGTTCGGTTTAGAATTTATAATGGTTTTTTGGTTCGTTCCGGTTTTTATAAATTTGATTTTTTAAATCTTTTTATTAAATCTTGAGAAAAATCTTTATAATTATATATTTTTTTAATACCTTATTTAATTTAATCAGGAAGATATTTCTTATTTAATTAACTAGTAATTTGCCTAATCTCTATAAATTAAGTATATAAAGTAAAAACAATAAACTTGGTATTGATATGAAGATAATGGCGATTTAATTGTAAAATGAAAAAAATCACTAATTTAAATTGTTCCCAAGGAAAATTAAAATTTCAAATCTAGGTTAAATTTTTTAAATTAATTATTTTTAAAACCCAGTATAAACTGGTTTAAACCGGGTCAAATATCTATAACAGTTCGGTTCGATCTTTTTAATTCTCTTTATAACGGTTCAGTTCCTGTTCAGAAAGAAGCCCTGATTCTATTTGTACCAAGAATGATCTATTTTATGGTGTCTTTATTGTGAAGACTTTTTTAAAAATATATAATTTGGTTTAATTATGTATTAATTATAACAATAAAAATTGTGTTTTTGTTGGTTAAAATTGATATTTGCTATCTTAGCCAGAAGGGCTTGACATTTTACACAGGGTCGTTAGTAAATAGTAACAAAAAACACCAATTTCAATCCTAAGTAGCGATTACAGTATTATTTAATATTTATTTTTAAAAAATAATCATAGTATCAAAGGAAATTCGAAACATGACCCTCTGAAGATGAACTTCTATAAAACATGTGGCTTTTTTATTTATTAATATTTTGAGATTCAGCAGATTAATATGGGTTTGTGTAATATTTTATTATTTTGTGCAAGACTCAATTAAATAAAATTTTAATAAACGTTAAATTTATAGAGAAGATCTTCATATCTTAAAAAACCACTGATTATTACTCTTATCTTTCAAGGTTACTTATTTATCTTTTTTTTATCAGAAGTCTATTAATAATATATAAATTATTCGCTTGATTTTATTTAAAAGATTATTTTAGTTTTGATTATATCTTTAACGATGTGTTATCTTTGAATGTGGTCATCTCATTGCTTTCTATCTCATATAAAAAAAATTACTATGAAGTTCATTATGTTTATAAGAATCAACAAAGCAACAAATGTATTGAATTTGTGATTTCGTTCTTTGATAAAATCGTATAGTAAAATTTAAAATTTTCATGCATTCATTTCCCAAGAAAGTATTTATCACTTTCTTATTTTCATGGATTATAGCCCGGGCCTTTGATATAGATGTTATCATAAAGTATACTATCAAATGTTATAGAATAATTTTAAAAAAAATTGAATTGCACTCAGATAAATGAGTGGTTACTAATTTATCATATAGGAATTTGAAGCGCAGGGTGTTAAATTAACAAATAAATACCCTTGAGTATGCCAATATATACTCGTTACACAATATTTATCCACTTTATAAAATATTTTTATATTAAAAATTATATGAACTAAAATATTTAAAAAAGGGGGAGGGGATTAAAAAGATACATTTTATATATTGTCTGGCATAGAATCAGGGATGGAGATAAAATTGGAATTGCATATCTGGAAAGATATTCTCTGTCCAAGGTATAAATTTTCTTTGGGATCTCCAGTGATTGTTAATTTTTTTATCAAAAGTTTTAAAAAGAGGATTGCTTCTTTGCCGAATTTCCTTAAAGTGGCAGTAACGAAGGGTAAAATACGTTTTCTAATTATGATTCGACAGTGGCGGTGAGTGCTTATTGTGCTTTTAATTTTGCAAGCGCATCTATACAGGTATAATCCTATGCCAAGGATTGATCTTTCTAGGGCATGAGAGTGGTACTGTCTGGTTTTTCATGTGACAAACTGGTTCTAAGGTAGAAGGAATGTTGGCTGATAGTCCCGCCTTCTGGATTACGTTGTTAATTGCCCGGTGGCGTGAATACCTACCTTTTGAGTATTTACAAGTAAAGAATGGTTTCTTTTACTATCGACCTGGATCTTGCATAAACAGCTGTGAGGGTGACTCTATTTGGGTTGAGAAAAGACCAATTGAGATTAGTAGTTCTTCTGGGATAGATAGGTATCTAGGCTCTAGCCTAGCCATTCGTAACTATGATGATTGTGGATAAATTGAAAGTTGATAATTTCCTCGGCTTGTGAGTTTGAGTGGCTTATGGATAGAGGTGTGTCTGGAGAGTGTGTTAAGATCATAAATTGTTAAGACTCTCTGGAGATTCTGGTCATTTAAAAAAGTTAATTGGTTAATTGAAACTTCATGTGATAGATGTTAGATATAAAAGGTGCCAGGGATAGGGAAAAGATTATATAAAGGTTGTAAATGATTGCAGGACATGTATTTTAGGAATATATAGGAAGATTTTGATAAGAAAAAGGTGTGGTGAGGAAACAGCTTAGTTAAAAAATGTTTGAGGTCTTTGATTATTGATGAATGTTTAAATACGCTTAGCAGGGTTAGTTCTGATTTGTAGGTTGAAAGTCATCTTGAGATTTTGATAAGTTAAGTGTAAGATCTATTATAGGAGAGACTAGGGCTAGTAGAACCGATTTTTGCAAAATCGATTCTAACTCCTGTGTTTTTTTTAGATATTATAAAGAACTATATATGAATCGATACCTATAACTATACTCTATAGAGGTGCCTTATAAACATTTTTAAAAATATAATCTATTTTTGAAATATTATTTTTTGCAAAAGTTAAATTTTGTCAAACAAGCCCCAATAGCGGGGTTAGCCAAACCACTGCAAAGGGCTTCCTAAAGATTAGTTTTTTTAATCTATAATGATTTGAAATGAATTTTTATTTATTAATAATGATACGTATAGAATAATTTTATTATTTTATTATTCAAAATATCTTAATACTTTTAAATTGCAGCTAATTATATATAAATTGAAACTTAATTAATTTAATAAATATTTTGGATATATAAAAATAAGGATCTTAAGGAGAGATTATGACTTCTTTTCATAAATTCCAAATATAAATCATACACAGCCAAAATTTTCTTTCCAAGGTTTTTATATATTTTTTTATATTAAGTACCAAATTGACATGTATGGTTTAGCAAGCCCTGCTAGCGCTAAATTGACCAATCATGATTGAAATAATATCTAGAAAAAATAAATACTCATAAAACTTTCTCAAATTATAAAAGAGGGTTAAAACTTTGTTTTTAAATTTTATTTATTATATATAAATGTTCATATAACATAATAAATATTAAAATTCTATCATGCAAAAATCTTTTAAATTTGA